TTTTGAGTGTATTTTATTGAATTTCGGTAACCACATGATTTTAATTTATTTTATCTTAATTGTTTCAATAAACTTGAAAGCGATAACATTTTTGAAGAGAAAATGAAGAGACCTTTCAAACGATATATCACAAACCTATACGCCCCATTTAAAAAATTGGGGGTTCTTCCTGTCATTCGAAGGGGGTTGAAGGTAGTGGTGGCATTTTTACGTTGAAGAATATCAAATCATAATTTACATTGGACGTATTTCCGTATTTTTTTCAAGTATGTACATTATATACAGTGTGTATTCTATACACACTGTATATAATACTATAACATCATTTCACAACCTTTTTCATCTAACCTGTAACAAAAAAAGAACGACAAAACTATAAAGATATCAAAATCTATTTCCGTTGTACGAAATATAACAGTTTATCGAAAGTGATCTCTAAATCTATGGCGATCATGGTCGTTAAATTATTAAGGTGCCTATTTCCAATACAACCCATCTAGACTGACCTGTCTTGAAATCCACTGAGGTATACATTCTTCACGGAGACCGTATGAATCCTTAGACAAACCGTTCAGCTGCTAAAATCGATTCCAAACAATAGCAGTGAATCACCAGAAATGTAACCTTGTAAGTGTGTGAGTGAGTTTGTATAAAAAAAGATTTTAATTTTCTGATCCACCGTTCTACATTCTGCATAGATGTTTCTGAATGAATTACGAAAAAAACGGCATAGTTTTTTTATTTTATTCAATCAATCAAATTAAGGAACTTTGTATAAATGCAAAAATACAGAAAATCGCTCAGCTAGGATTTCAGTTGATGAAATTTTTCGATGAATTCGATATTTCTCAATATCTCTCAACGCCACAACGGATTCAATATCTCCCAGAACGTAGGGCAACACCAGTATCTTGTCAATACCATAAAAGTGCCGTAAAAAGAACTCTTGGGGCAATTTGGGGCAACTTGGTTGCCGCAAATTCGCTTACGCTTTTGCGGCAACCATGCACCTGGTGTTAGCAACCTCCATATGCATCTAAAGTAGACTAAGGTGCTGACATTCTGGCAGACCATGATGAACCTCCCAGTCTCGAACCTCAGCCCACTAGACCTGAGGAAAGCGAAAGTCAAGTGCTTTGATAAGTCGGAGTCTTCAATGTTGATCCCTGGCATCAGCTTATCCATGTGTAATGTAGCAGGAGTCAAATGATCTCTGCGGCTTTTGCTGAATGGGTTCCAACTCAGTGCCAGAGTTGTGATCACCCCGTTTAGTGTCATAAACGTAAACCCAGTTCATCAGCCGCTCGAGCAGCTGCCTTAAAGAAAAATACTCCAATTCCTTCTTTCTCATGGTTGCGGACCATGCAGAGAAGGGGATCCGAACTCCTGATGACTTTACAGGCTCCATCCAGTATTATTCACTCAGGTACATATTCAAAACTCAATAGTCCACGGCGTCCGTGGGTATTGACCCTTAGTTGATACAGCTCCTCTCGAGTCCACTTCACTATACCAAAAAAATAGTGAAAGCTTTTCTCTACCATTGTGGACGAGGACGAATAAACTGGAGTGATTAGATGATGTTTAACGGCCTCATGGCTATTCAGAAAACAGTTTTTTCTGACTTATAAAATAAGGTTGTTGAAGATACTATTAAACAACAGCGATAAATATCAGCAACTCTTCTAGTACAGAGTGCCATAGTAGATGGAAGAGTGAGTCGGTTGCTGATGGATATTTGAAGGCCGGTATATCCTAAAGAAATCAAAGGTATCAAAAATGCTGGCAGGCATACCTTCAGGATTTGTTATTATCTTACATGAACCTGATACCCGACAATGAAACATGAATCAACAACGTTGCCTATACGCAAAATATCAGCGGACGTTCCCTGACTTGCCAGTTTTTTTGTCAATTCCATTGGTGAAATTTGTTAAAAACTTGAAGCTGAAAACAGCTCGATTTGTTAAAAACTCCTGTTGGATAGCCAAAGAATAAATCTCTTTAAGGTTATCGTCGGCAAATCATACGTTTCTCGGTGTTTCATTTCTATACGCAAGTAATTTCAGTATCCAGGGTCAGTTGTTTTTATTTTGTATGAAATATTATTCTTGTCAACACTCACTTTGATTGCAGTCTTATCGAGAAGGAGTCCATCGGAGGCAGTTGGCGAGTTGCACGGGCTATGTGGAAGGCCTTCGTCGTCTTCGCTAGTGTCACCACGACCTCGCCTCAGTCTCAGCCTCTCAGTGAGCTCAGTCTGGAAAAAAACAACGTGAAATCATGTTATGAAGAAATTAGTAATTCCGTCGAAAATTCATTGTATTGAGTAAAAGGTGTTCTTATACGCTTCTAAATTATTAAAAGACAAGGCAGCGTTAATAAATGCGTTGTTCAACATTATGATGACAATATGCGTGGTGTTTCCCGATGTCGGCGAGAAATGTAAGAGTTTCGAGAGGTAATGTTATTTTCAGTAATGAAAGGATCATTGAGCCTTTTTGAGATATGAATTATTGACTAAAAAATGTACGCCACTGACGTTTCTTGTAGCAATTATATGTTGGGTGGAAGCGGTTATTGATATTATTATTATTATCATTATTATTGAAACGTCAAAAATAAAACTCTCGATATCTCTTGATTTTCCGTGGGTTGGGATACCTATCGGGCGCGTCACCAGGTGGCGGATAGGGGAACGGCCAGGGACTGGAGGCCCTGTTCGGGCAGCCAATGTGGCCTTACAGACGGGGTCGCCAGACTCATGGTCGGTGGCAGAAATAAGTAGGGTGAGGGGAACTAAAACTCCCCAAAAGCCTTTGCAAAACTTGCCATCGTGGAACAGCCTACCCAAGATAAGGTGTAAGTAATTGTGCCGACAGCTGAATGGCCGCAGGGTGATATGCTGTCACGAACTATCCCCTTGGGGAACTGGGCGAAACCTCATTGTAATTAGCCTAACTCTGGTAATGCGGGGCTCTGCCAGAGGTGACCAACTCTTCTCTTGCTACTCGTGGGAACACACATGAATGAAACAAACACAAAAACAACAAAAACCAATCCCGAGGCTGGATAGAAGGCGGTGGCTGGGAATGAACAGAAATATCCACCCCAATCTACCGCTTGGAATGAGACTGGACATAGCAGATTACCTCGTGATGTAATACAAATGCAAAAGCGTAAGCGAATTTGCGGCGCCGAGGCAAAAAGGAGAAAGAGAACGAAAGAGGCAGGAGTGGCAGCAACTATAAGTGCACCTTCCTCCTCCCCCACTCCACCTCCAACAGCAAGGGCACTTCCTGCGACGGGCGCCAAAACCTCCGCCTTGAGTAAAGACAAGGAACCGACTGCCCCTGCAAGAAAGCTCCCTCACTTGTGCACCTTCACGGAGGAAACCCCAAGAAGGTTGAAGAATCCACGACACGACAGTATTGTCGCTGCACTTTCCAAAACCTTCGCGGAGGCCACCATGAGACACCTATAGGTGCAAAGAGAGCGTGTGTTGGCCTACACCTGCTAATATAAAGGAGATGTCTCCTAGTGACCTCTCCACCTCCCTGAAAACGATAGGATGGACGATGACCTAGGAGGACAATTCCTCGGGAGGATGTACAATGGGTCACATGTGGGTCTACACTCACCCTCCGTACTCTACAGATACAGAGATCTCTTGATTTGTTTTCGTAGCTCGCTTCGTTTTTCAGAAAATAAAAAGGAAGAGCGAATAACAGCAACTAGTGAGTGATACATTAATAAAGCAACACACATCAATAAACATACACTCGAACCACCAGCCACAACAAAAGAGAGGGGTAATTAAAACATCGGTTGAGAAAGCACGACGAATGTGTGAACCTGAGAGTCTTCCTGAAAAACTAAATCACCTTAAAAATGTATTCAATCCTACAGCGAAAGAGAATTCGAGCGGGCCATACGGCCCAGAAGAGCGAGCACCAAAGCAATCTCAGCTAGGCCAGTTAAGGGAAAAACTTTCCTTCCCTATGTCAAGAATGTTACAGACCGGATTGGAAGGACCTTAGTGAAACACGACGTGAAACCAATATTTAGGCCAACAAAAACCATCAGGCAAAGTCTCAGGTCAGCGAAGGACTCTAGAGAACCTCTAGCACCAGATTCCGGGTAGCTGCGGGTCGATCTATACCGGAACTACTAAACGAAGTATAGAGACCCGTCCCTCAGAACACAAGAGAAACTGTCGCCTCGGACAAACCAACAAGTCGGCCGTGGCCGAACATGCTATCATCAAAAAAGGTTCCCACATTATCCCATTAGAATACACAGTAATACTCGACAGTACCCAAAATTACCACCCAAGAATATATAGAGAGGCCATAGAGATTCGTCCAGTACGGAAATAGTAGCTAATGCGTTGGATACAACAGGAACAAGAACCAGAGCACCAGCTCGGTTATTGCGACAGTTAACGCATCGCCTTTGAAAATGTAGCAGTAGACGAGACTTCTGGGATAAAAACCTGCAGACCACGGCCAGAAAACCCGGAAAATAGTCTTCATACCTTTGAAAACCTTAGTCTTCTAAATTCCAAGTGTTTTGGAGGACGGTGGTCATTTCCAACAGTTTTCATAGATGTGGTGTGATCGTGCCATGTGCAATAAAATGTTTCATTCAATAAAAAATTTAATGTTACAAAAAACGTCAGTGGCGTACATTTTTTGGCGAATAATATTGGCTAACTGTATTTTGAAATCAATGCATTTCCGGTGACCTGTATTTATATTAATTTTTTTCATAAAATTAACTTCCGAAGGCGCTCTAATATTTTTTCATCGCAATTAGGAAAAAATCCGTTGATACACTTTGAGAAAACGTTTCGTCAGAATTATTGAATAAAATAATAATTGAACACAATATTGCAAAATTTAAGGAATTATAATATATCATACATAAATGATCATAATCATTAGTAAATAGAAATCACGGCTTATGTTAATCAAAAAAGTTAATAAGGTCTTTATCTTCATTATGAAGACTGTAAACCTAGTCCACTAATGACATACTTGAGATGATTGAAGCAATTATTTTCTCATGTTTCATAATTCTTGACTAGAGTACAATATAACTTTAGGTGAGTTACAGTTTCGAGTGTTGAACTGATTCATTTTTTTTTTTAATTTCATGATTTGTTTTATAGCAGTCAAACGCATTTTTGATTAGATACGGGACTGACAGAATATATGAATATGAGAACACTTTTTCGAAAACACCGACATTCGGTCATCAATTTCATTTTCTGAAGAATTGATATCGTAAAATTGAAGGAGGAGATATTTTTTTCGAATATTGTTGATAATGATTCAGGATTCTCATTTATACTAGAGCTACTGAGTAGATTGAATTACCTTTTAGACAAACGTAGATTTTACGTATCGACTATTTCGACTTTCTCATGTAAACAGGTTGATCCAAATTAAATGCGAATCATAATTTGGTCATTATGGTATAGATTTGAAATAATTAAATGAGTACAACTAGTATTACTCTGCAGGAAAAAATGTTATATCGCCAACTATATCGGCAGTGGAAAAAACGTGCAGCTGTAATATTTACGAAATTCTGGTATAGAAGTTCAGGAAAAATTATTTTTTCGTTTTTTCATCACCTGTAAATAAATAGAAATTTCCTTTCAAACTTTTATTGGAAACCCAATATTTGAAACACGCGTTCCTCGTAGCGAGATGTTATAGTCCGTATAGTTTGACTAACATTTTTCATCGCAAACGGCTCATTTCACGAATACAAGTACTTTCTTTTTCCGTTGTCTTATTTTTGGGGTTATCCAATACTTGCCGAAGTGCACAAGCAATTTTGAAAGCCACTTTCAAGATCAATTTTTCAAAAATTTCAACCAATCCATTGGTACATTTTGGTTCGTATGGAAGAACTATGAATTTTGAGTCTTCTTTTTCTGAAAAGTCACTCTCTAAATTTTCTTTTTCTAATAAACATATCCATTATGTTTGAAGAATAACCGTTATTGATCTTCAAATGATCTTTCTTCTTGGACCTATTTTCTGATTCCTTCACCACTTCGATGTATTTTTCTTTTATTTTTTTTAATTATGTCTGGTCGATACAAAATTCAGCAAATGATTTTGAACTATAATTCCAATGAGTCAAATGTTGAATTGAGTTACAATGCAATACGAACTCCAAAAAAAAAGAGCAATGCCTGAAGGATAAGATGGAGACAAGGCAAAAGAAGTATCAACAAGAAAGCAGGCAAGTCTTGGCAAGACCGAAATTCATTTACGAATTTTCTGTAATTCATGCTTCACCAGTTACTAGGTAATTCATCGCGAACAATTGTTCTGTTCTATTGTTTTGTTGTTTGTACTTTTACTGTAAATTTTCTTCATATTCCGGGTAAAAGACTTCCATTAGCTTGTTTGATTGAATGTACAATTTAAAAAAACGGGACGCCCTCATTATGCCTGGAGAACAAAAGAAACAATTTTCTTCTAGTTCTTCGCCCTTTTCCGTGTAATATATTCAAGGGCTCATCAACTCCTTTATCTAATTGCTATCACCCATCAAGATTCGTCCTGAATCGACCTTCACCGTATAATTAAAACAATTAAAGGACGCCCGCACCTCATGACGCTTCAAAGAAAACAATTTACGAGCAACGTCGTCGGAAGCATTACGATATTTGCGAGCTTTTTACGCGAACTTTCCTCTCTCAAGGACAAATACAAATAGCCTGGTTGACATTAAAGACCAGGCGAGGTTTTCCTCGTCGAGGTTGGACGTTACGTGACAATTTTATTAATTCCATTCGGAGCACGTAACTCGAGAGTGGAGTTCCAGAGAGTCTGGAAAACATTCGATGAATGGCATTGTCCGAAAACAATTCCAGTTTTTTAAGGTGAAAAAATAAACGATTTCTTCAATGTTACGAAGGTTGTTATTTACGTATAAGGAAAAACACAAACACTTATTTTTGGTCTGTTTTTATTTCTGTTTAAGATTTTATAATCTTCGCTATGATAAGTCGATATATTTTTTGTCACTTTCGAACCACTCAACAAGCACTTTTCTTTGTGACCACAGTTTGCCCAAATAAGCAAATTAAGGGTTGGTTCTAATGTTTTTACAAACTGAAATGTGACAACACAATATTAAAAAAAATATTTTTATTACCTTCTTACTCGAAAAGAATAGTTTCGTTCATTTTTAGTAATGAAGAAACATCAGAAAAAGAATTGGTTTGCAATTGGT